ACTGTGGCAGATCCCTTTAATATGATGATCATCTTTGAGTGATTTTGACTGGAAATGTTTGCATGAATGGTGGTAATTGCTGCCATTGTGTGTGAAGAATGAGGCCATAGGCTCATGTTCCAGAATTTTATCAACCCTGAAGTGCCATTGACTGTGCCTCGTGTGGCTGGGCAGGCATCGAGGGTGCCTTGGAGGGGTAGGTGGGCGTGCTGGCTTTTGGCTGACTATAAGGTCAAGCCTGGCTAACTAGTGGGGCCAGGAGGTGGCTTTCTGTTGGAGACCTGTTTCTCCCCATACAGAGGACAGTGGCTCTCTGTCAGCCAGTCAAGTAGTTCCAGAATCGGCCTACCTGTGGGGGAGAACATGTCTCTTAGTTATCTAGTCTCCACCTTCACCCATTATCCATTAGCTGCCTGACTGTAGGGCAGACCTCTGAACCTGCTGTTTGTAGAACTGGGGTCTTGGCTCTGTGGGGAGGCTGCCTCCCTCCAGAGATGGTTTCTAGGCCGCTGCCGGCCTCTTTCCCACCATCCCCGTCAGGTGTGTTTTTCTTGACACAGTGGCAAACTTTTAACCTTGGCTTTTAGGGGATCATTTCACATGTTCATTCCATGTTGCATTAGGAGCCGCCTCCTGTCCTTCGTCTTTGGGTTCTTACCCCGGCTCGGATGCAGACAGAGGCCTGCTTTGCCATGGCCTCCTGGGGGCCCTTGTGCTAGCTAGGGCATCTGCTGAGGCCTGGTTTTTATGAGAAGGCCCCAGGAGACCTCTTGGTTCTGCCATGAGGAATCCCAGGGCTTCTGAGGTGGAACCTGGCCAAATATGCTGAACAGAACAGCAACCAGTCCATAGAGGACCCAAGGCACTTGTACTTTGAATGCTCTTCTCACCACCATAACCAACACTAGCCTCATATTTCCATAAAGCAGTTCTATGGAAGCATCAGGCTGCTTGACAGAGGAAGGTGTCTCCCCACAGCAATCTGAAAGGATCTGGAAGGACAAGGATCCAGACTGCCCTCCTTGACTGGGAAAGCTTGTGCTTTAGCCCCTTCTCTCCCAACTTACCCCATTTTCCTCCAGCACTTTTGTCTCTTTTTCCTTCCTCTTCCTCCCCTCCGTCCTCCACTTGACCGCACTATTCATACTCTCTTCTTCTCTGCCCTTCTTTCTTCTCCCCCTTCTGGCCCTAGCTACAGCACACTCCCCTGCTGTCCTTGGGTTCTGATTCAGTTCAGACAGCTATCCCTGAGCCTTTCCCCACCAGGGACAGGCAGTGTGGTCATTACACTAATTTATTTTTTCAACAGGATCTAGCAAGTGCTCTGTGTCAGGCAAGGCACTAGCTCCTGGGAATACAATGGCAAATTAAGAAATTAGAGGGATAACCTCTCTATTGATGGGGGGAGCGAGATGACTTTTCTGCTACAAACACACATTTCTGAGTCTAGTCTTTTTAACCTGGTTCCTTGATCCTGGGCTACTCCCAGGAATCTGCATTTTCTAAGGGGCCATCCAAGTGATGCTGGTGCAAGTGGAGCTGATGCAGATGGGTCCAGGTGGTCCCTGAGTCAATCTCAAAGAAACATTGCTTTCCCCATGAGGCAGTGTCCAAAGCTACCCTTTCGGAGTGTTGGTTGACTGTGCCTTGTGATTTTAACTGCCCTGCTTGCCTTTAAGAGGTTAGGAAGTACAGAGTCTTGGATAAGGATCTTAGTTTCACATGAGTGTTAACGTCAGACAATTTCAGATACCAGGCACAAGCTTTTATGGGGGATTGTTGTGACTTACAAGAATGTCTTAATGTGCTCAGCAATTACTCTCTAGAAAACTGACTTAACACCAGGCTGCCTCCTGCCCCCCTTCTTTGCAGACTCCTGCATTCCCACGCTGCACCTCCATACTCCGAGCATGGGTGACTGTGGCATTTCTCCATCACAAGGGTGGACCCTGGCATTTAGCTCTCCCAGAATGAATCTTCCCCGAAGTTTGCCTCTCCTGGCCATGGGCTACCACCCCCATCCTGCCCTGGGTCATAAGTAGGAGGGGACACATGTGTCATCATCACAGTTTGGTGGCAAGAACAGAAGCCTGTCTAACAAGGTTTAAGTCAAGAAAGACCACAAAGACAGGGGACTCTCACATGCCCCGGGCAGAGAGTGGAGCCACACCTCTCAGCAGATGGGCAGCTGAAGTCGCCAGGCAGCCCCCACCCTCTGGCCTCAGATCTCCATCCACTGTGTACCTGCCTTGCTCCCTATGTGCCATCATCCACATGCACCAGAGCTGTCCCCTATGATGGCCTGTCCCTGCATATGGATGAGACCACCTAGTTCTAGCACCCAGCACTGCCTCAATTCCAAGTTTCAGCAAAAACATAATTTGATTGACTGTTTAGGTTTGGTTGATTGATGCGGGAGATTGGGCTCACACAGTGCTTTTCTAGGCTGCAGATCTACTGCTTCTCTTTGAGGGGTCAAGGGCTGGAGAAATGATTAACAGTGAGTGGTTGCTGTCCCAGGTGTAGCTGGGGTGGCACATCTGCACCAGTAGAGGGCAGTGCCCCACGTACACAGGTATGATTGCTAGGAGGTTTCTGGAAAAGCTTGGATGAGTCTCAGTAGAGGGCAAAGGAGCATTATTTGCTGAGCTTGTGCCTTGTGCGCTGGGCTCATCTCACATCTTTTCACAGCAGCATGCTGTACAGAAGTAACTGGGACCCAGAGTGCTCCATTAACCTAACCCAGTACCGTCTCCAGTGGCAGTATCAGCATTCACACTGGGTTCTTTCAACTCTGAACACTGCTATTCCCAGCATGCCCCACTGCTGCCCGGGCTTGTGGAAAGCAGGAGAAATTCCATAGAGTCAGAAACGTGGACAGTGAGGTCAAAGTCAAGCTCAGAAGGAGCAGATGAGGATCTGAGACTGAGGTCTATAGTTCAGCTCCAGAGAATGTCATTGAGTACCTTCCTAGTGGCCCAGGGGAGTTTCACTGGGCCTCCTTATGAGATGTCTCTTTTGCCCACAACAGCATCTTAATGGCACGTCTGGTGTTTGGCAGCTTGGGGGTTGCCAGCTCCTCCATGGAGCCGTGGCTGGAATATGCCACATATCACAAGGCTAGAGGGTGCCACGTATCAGTAGGGCTTTGAAGCTGAATGGTCTCTGAGCCCTACTCTGTGACTCAGGGCCAGACCACTACATCCCCATGGGGCTTGGCTTTTAGGTGGAGATGGCCCCTCCTTCGCAGGGCTGTGGTGGTTTCTAACTGAGTCAGTGTGTGAAAAAGTGCTTTGCACTGTGCTGGAGACATAGTAATTACTCAATAAAGAGCTGCTATAATAATAATAATATAGTAATAATGATGATGACTCTTAGTTGCTTGAATGCAGGAAGTATATTTTGCGTTTTTCTACCCCCTACAGCACCAGTAAAATGCCTTTGATAGGGTAGGTGCTGAGAAAATATTTGCTGAATGGATTTATTATACAAGGGTATGTAGGAAGTCTGGAAGCAGAGATGAAAAGACATAAAGAATTTGTTGATATTGCACTACAATGCAGGAGGTAATATAATATAATACAATGCAGTGTGTAAAATGTAACAGTGGTTGTCCGTTATTAGCAATGCAGGGTTCAATGCTTTATGCAAAATTGCCATGAACATTGTAGATCAATGCTACGTTTCCATCAATTTCTGCACATGCATCCATGATGTGTTGCCTCAGATGGTTTTTGTCTCCGATTTTCATTGAATTCAACTTGTGCTTTTAGCCTACTCCAGAAGAAATAATCTAGAAGATTCATATATACAAAAGTAAAATATTAACATTTGTTTCCAATGGTCACCTTGTCAGTACCTTTCATCTCTCCCACTCAGTACCCCTTCTCTGTGGACTAAGACACCAGTGTCTCCTCTGAGTCTACTCCCCTCCCTGAGGACCAGCATCCTGATCCACTGTCTCCCATCGGAATGTGGAGTCTAGACCTCCTCCTGTTGACCTTCCTTTCTCCAGTTTCCCTCCATGTCCCCAACTGGTAAAGCCCTTCTTCCTGGGATAGGAGATAGACACATCTGTTCTTCTCCTCTGAGCTTCCCTGAGACTTCCCATGCACCCATCCTGTCACACAGCTGTCCCCAGACATGCAGTGAGAACCAGTCTCCATGTTTGCGGACTTCACATGACATGTGAGACCTGTTCTTGTTCAAACTGCAAAGGTGCCAGGTTATCCCCAGATGCTTTGGGGCCCATAGTTTGACTGAAGCTAAAACATAGCTATATGGAGAATGGGGGTATGGGAACTGAGGCCTTCAGGGAGTTATCCCATTGGCCAGAGTGGAATGAAGCCCCAAGTTATTCCATTGGCCAGAGTGGAACCACCCCCATAGGATGGTGCCTGTGATGGGCTTCTGGTGCCGATGACTTTAGCATCTTTTTAAGAAATTGAGATATAATTGGCATATAGCGCTGTGTAAATTTAAGGTGCACAACAGGTTGATTTGGTTCATGTATATGTTGCAATATGATTACCACCATTGCATTAGCTAACACCTCCATTACATCACATAATCATTTCCGTTTGTGGTGAGAGCATTTAAGATCTAATCTCTTAGCAACTTTAGAATTTATAATACGATATTGTTTGCTATAATCACTATGCCATACATCAAATATCCAGAACTTACTCATCTTCCTTCCACTGCAAGTTTAAACCATTTGACTAACATTTCCCTGTTTCCCCCACTTCCCAGTCTGTGGTAAGACAATTCCCCTTGTTTCTATAAATTTGGCTTTTTTTTCCCTCCCCAAATTTCACATGTGCAAACATTTGTCATTCACTGTCTGACTTAGCTCACTTAGTAAAATGACCTCCAGGACCATCCATATTGATGCAAATGGTGGGATTTCCTTTTTTCTAGTAGCTGAATAAAATTCCAGTGTGTATACTAGTATTTGATGATTTTAATCACGTTAGTATCTCTCTCTCTCTCTTCCACAGGACACCAGCAATGATTGGCTGTTCCTTCGTAGTCAACAGGAAGTTCTTTGGTGAAATCGGTCTGCTAGACCCTGGGATGGATGTGTATGGAGGAGAAAACATCGAACTTGGAATCAAGGTTTGTGACATGGTGACCTTTGCTCTTGTTCACATTTGTGAGCAGAGCTGCCTGGTCACCTTCATGTATATCTAAAGCTTCCTTAGCTGATGAATGACAGATTCCTTCATCCCACCCCTGTCCCTGAGGATGTTCCAGCAAGATTGTCACTCCTCTTTAGACAGAGAATCCTGGGCTTTCCCTTTCAAAGAGCTGAACAATTTATTCCATGTCTCGGTGATTCACTCTGGACAATAGCCACAGAATTTATTTCCTATTCTCTTCAGGTTTCATTCTCTCCTTACATTTGTCTTAAAATTAAATTGCTCCTTAAGTTAGTATTGCCATTCTATGACTTTTGATGGTTTATATACATTGTGGAATCACAAGATGCCAGAGAAGAGCAGGGCCATGTTCTGTGGGACCCTCCCTTGTCTCAGAAATGCTTCTAAAGAGAATGACAGGGTCGGGGAGTGAGAAGAATGCAGAATGGGCCTCTTGCTGGGCCCCTAGGCCAGATCACTTCCACTGTTAGACATGTTAGATACTGGGTTTTGCTCAAGATTTTGTTTGAAAAGAGAATTCCACTGCAAAAAAATAAAATGGGACACATAGATATATTCCAACCTCCTCTTTTTAGAGTTAAGATAAATGACTGCTCCCCGACTGGTAAGGTACACCTTTAAGCACTGTCAACCTCTTAACAGTAGATTTGCTGCTCCTGCCTAGTGCCAATTTCTCTCCACATTGCAAAGAATGAGTGCTGGGAGGACGCCCTTCCTGCCGAGGTCTCTGTGTCTGTTGCCCCCTGTCCTGAGTGTTTGCATATCTAGGCCCCTGGAAAGTATGCTTGTTGGAAATGGCCCAGGACTCAATTGTAAGGAGTTAAGTTTATTGCATTTCTTGCGCCTTCCTGTTGTATTCTCGATTTTGTTCTACCAGGCAGGTACCCTGTGCGGAATCCCTGTTCCTAATCAAAGCCTGCTCTGTTTGTGATTTCATTGGGTTAGCCCTAGCTGCTCAGTACCTTTAAGACACCCCATCAGCTCCTCATCAACCCTCGAGTCCGCTTTGTGGAATGAAAGGCTGTGTACCCATAGGATGTAATGAATGGCCAGACTACATGAGTGAAGGAAATGTTGGCAACCCTCTCTGGATCCTAAAATCCCTCCCTTTTTGTCCTGTGCTTTCAATTCCAGGCAGGGTTCTTTCTTTAGTAGAATTTGCATGAGATTTCTTTGTAAAATCTGGCAATTTAAAAAATCCATCATTATGTTATCGTAGCTAATACACTGTCTTTCATCTGTTTTGAATTTAATTGCAGACACAAATCTGGACCTAGCATGTTGAACTTGGCCCTGCTCCCACCTTCTCATCCCTCCTTTTGCTGACTTCATAGAAGCCTGTTTTCTGCCCATTCTTAAAGCAGAGTTGAGTGCTGTTGATGCCATAAAGGTCAAGACCTGGGTTCAGGGTCTTCAGAGCCACCGTCTTCACTATTCTGTGGTTCTCAAGGTGTGGTCCCTGACCAGCAGCATCGACTTCACCTGGAAACTTGTTACAAATGCAGATTCTCAGGCCCCACCTCAGATCCGCTACATCAAACACTCTGGGGTGGGGTCCAGAAACTTGTGTTTTAACAAGCCTTCCAGGGATTCTGTCACATGGCCAAGCTTAAGTGCTGCTGGGTCTACACCTTGACCTTAGTCAGCTTCCTAGCAGATACACACTTTTCTCAGAAAGGAGCTCATGAGAGTTCACATGTTTCAAGGCCCTCCTCCAGGTGTCCTCATGGCCATTGCGGGCCCACAGTGAGTACCTTCTCCTCACTCCCAGCTCACACAGCACAGCCCCCCTTCCCCCCCCTCCTCAACCCCTTAGGTAACTATACCTACTTCCTCCTGAGCTTATATGTAGCTGTCTGGATCAAGTGACTTTAGGTTTCTGGAGAGGGCTCCCTTTTACCTGGAGATCTATGTAAGCTGCTTTGTTTACCAATCATAGTATTTCTCTTTTCATTCTGTGCTATTTTATATTGCTTAGAGGGAACAATACATTTTTTTAAGAAAGCCATCCCACAGCTTGAAAAAACTTCAAGCTTTTTGTCATCTTCTACACACATATTAATTTGAATACAGTGGGCACACGTACATTTATATAAATTAGCTAGGAGAAACAATACAGAATCCTATGCTTATGTTAAGTGGGACGTTTTCAATATGAACATACTTTCATTGGGATTCTTTTTTTCCCCACCAAGAAATAGGTCCATCTGCAGTCTTTCTAACTATTCTCTGACATTTTTCATTACTTTTTAATTCCTTAGAAAGTAGAGTGTCACAAGAATAGGAAAAATAGACAGTCTCGCTGAGGCTCAAGGCTGACTTCCGGCTGTCGCTGGGATGAAAGGCAGCTTGCCTGCAACCAAAATAATCGATACACTACAGTGAAGGGGAGGAAAAGCTTCCAGGACCGAGAAAATAAATGAGGTTAGAAATGGAAAGGTTTCATCTTGTTCTGAGTAACATTCATCAGAAACTTTTAATGAGGCATATTATTGTAACATATCTAAATGGGAAGGAAAAAAAAAATCTCCCAAGGAGAGGAGAGCAGATAGATCACTTTTAAGTGGAATAAAATCAGGTGGCTTCAGACTACCCTGGTATATCAGTCTTCTTGGGGAAATAAGAGGCACTACTTATTCTGAAACCTCATATAAAAGAGTGACAGGCAAGACTGCTGAATCCTGTCACACAGCTGTTCCAAATGGAAGACAATAGAAAGGTGCTGTCAGATCCTACAACTATCAGAAAATGTCTTATCTCGAACAGGACCCTCGAGGACTGAGTAAAAGACAGGATTCATGTGTGTGTACATGGCTGTTAAAATTATTTGTGAGGCCAAGGACCCACAATGGAGATGATGGAGATGAGTAAGCATGTGAGTGTGGGGTGCACAGGTGTGATAACCTTGCCTGGCCCTTCCCAGCCCAAGGGCCTTCTCCTGGGTGCAGTTTCTGCCGATGCTCCACAAGAATCCCAGTCAATGTATTTAGACTCATATCCTGGTGAATTAAGGGAAAGGGGCTTATATATTTTAATTTGTACAGAGTAACAATAATATTCTTAAAAAGAAGATTTTGCCCAACCGGTGTGACTCAGTGGTTGAGCGTCAACCTATAAACCAGGAGGTCACAGTTCAATACCTGGTCAGGGCACGGACCTGGGTTGCAGGCTCGATCCCCAGTGTGGGGCATGCAGGAGGCAGCCAATCAATGATTCTCTCTCATCATTGATGTTTCTATCTCTCTCTCCCTCTTCTTTCCTATCTGAAATCAATAATAATATATATATTTTAAAAGCAGAGTTTAGACCTGGGTGCCACAACTGCTAGTTGCATAATTGGATGCCTTGGGCCACACCATTTTTTTTCTGAAGAGCTGGATGCCATTCTTATGACTCAGGTGGGTCCAAGATGGGCATCCTTGCCACCTTACCTGGCCCAGTCCACTTGGGCTCAACTCATTGAAGATCTAAAGGGTCACCCACAGGCTGGGGTGCTCAGAGTCCCTATGCCGATCAGGATAGCTTCATCAGTAGATTTGGAGAATTGCCGCCTTGAGAGGGATCATTCAGAAAACCCCAGACCCCCAAATGAACTCACACTGATCTCTTCTGTCCCATCTCTTGCTCACCTTGTCTCTTGTTTCTGAGAAGCTAATGGTGTAATTCAGTCTGAATCTGAAGGCCTGGAAATCGGGGGACATATACAGTCCCAGTCTGAGTCTGAAAGTCCAAGAACCAGGAGTGCTGATATCTGAGGACGAGTGAATATAGATGTCATGTTTCATGTTTCTGCGTGACATGAGACAGGTGCTTTGATCCCCAGCCTCTCCTCTGTCTGTGGGTCTGAGACTCACCCTCCAGTATCCATTTGAATCAGGATAGATTCCCTGCCCTCTCTAAAGCCCCTGACATCAGCCCTTCCAGTGCCCAGAAGCCTCCTATGACCTTTGTCTTCCACACTATTAACAATGGGCATCAGGGACCCCTTTTTTCTTGGGCTCAAGTCTACTACATCTGGTGAATGTTGTGATTGGAAAACTGTCACTCCTGGAGGGGACTTAGACTGGGCCATATAAATATATACCCCAAATCTCAGGTCCTGAGGGTATGTTTTGGAATTTTGTTTACTTTTTCTAACCTCTAGATTGCTTGTGGCTTTGGTTCTCCCTTTGCTGCTGGCATTGGTCATACCTGGCTATGTGAATGTCTTCATAGTGCAGGGTTAGAGTCCATCTGTGTTAAAATTCAGAGCAAAGTTCCTAGTCTTGACTGGAGATAGAAAAGGCTTTTGGGTTTCACAGACTGGACTTTAATCTGGATGCATATATTATATGTGGCCAACAGGTCAGTTGAATGCTTTTGAATATGAGGAAGACGTGTTGAATGCCTTCTCTACTGCAGCAGGCACCTTCACTGCGGATACCACTATAGATAGGCATGGTCAGACAAAAAAATCCATTCATTTAACAGGTAAGTATCAATGTGATGAGCATGAAAAGATAGGATGGGCCGAAACCGGTTTGGCTCAATGGATAGAGCGTTGGCCTGCGGACTGAAAAGGTCCCAGGTTCGATTCCGGTCAAGGGCATGTACCATGGTTGCGGGCACATCCCCAGTAGGGGGTGTACAAGAGGCAGGTGGTCGATGATTCTCTCTCATCGATGTTTCTAACTCTCTATCCCTCTTCCTTCCTCTCTGTAAAAAATCAATAAAATATATTTTTTTAAAAAGAAAAAAAGAAAAGAAAAGATAGGATGGGGGATGATATCAGAGAACATATCAAGGGGAAATTATCTAGCCTACAGTGTTGGGATGAGCCTCCCTAAGGAAAAGATGTTTAAGACTTTAAAAATGAGTTGAATTTAGATAGACAAAGCGAGTGTGGGAGAGGAGTGTGGGAGTAGGAATATGCCAGGCAGTTACAGTCATGCGAAATGAGTAAGTCCTAGAGATCTA